AATGGGAGATTTGATATGGGCCTATAATTGCTCATTAGTGACCTGTCTAGATTGCTGTTTTTTAAGAGTGGCTTAATGACTGCAGTTTTCAGGGCCTGTGGGAAAAACCTGTTGGCAGAATATCAAGGCAGCATGAGGAGGATTTCAGATGTTGTATTATGTCCTCCAGGTTTTTATGGTTAATAGAATCAAATTGTCTCATGCTATATAAATTGTTTCTGAGTGGACACAGGGACAAGACATATCCTGTTACTGGCATGGAGGCACTGATTGCTTGTCTAATTGTTTGAATTGTGTCTATGAAGAAGGAGGCATATTCATTGCAGGCCCTGGTGGATAGAAGGTCAGAGGCTACAGACACACAAGGGTTGGTTAGCCTGTCGACAGTAGCAAACAGGACACGTGCATTCCAACGAAGGTTAAAATGAAGGGCAACTGGACTTGGTTGAAGCTACTGGAAGACGTTTCGTTCCTTATCCAAAGGACTTCTTCAGTTCTGACTGACTGGCAGGGAAACTCAGCTATTTAACCTCAGTGGGGTCGTTATCTCGGGTCATCGATACCGCTGGTTCGTTAGTGTTCCTTGTTGCTGTGACGACAGTCGTTACAGTCGTTGAGACTACCTGTGGCCAAGACTGAACGACCATCGTTGGTATCTTCACCTGAGGCCAATAGGTTACGTTTGTTGAGTTTCCTGGGAAGTGATGAAAGGACAGCATTGTAAGTGGGGGATAAGTGGTGGCGTAGACCCCCTCCCCTGTTCAATGACGGTTTCTCAACCCTGGTGTAGATGGCTTCCTTGACACCTCTTTCAAGCCATCCATCTTCTCTGTCTAAAATGTGCACCTGGTGGTCCTCAAACGAGTGTCCTCTGTCCTTCAGATGTAAGTAGACAGCAGAGTCTTGACCTGAGGAGTTGGCCCTTCTGTGTTGAGCCATGCGTTTGTGTAGTGGTTGTTTAGTCTCCCCAATATACAGGTCTGTGCATTCCTCACTGCATTGGACCGCATACACTAGATTGCTTTTCTTGTGTTTGGGTGTGCGGTCTTTGGGGTGTACCAGCATCTGTCTTAGTGTGTTCTTGGGTTTAAAAAACACAGGGATGTTATGTTTGTTAAAATCCTCCTGAGTTTCTCTGATACTCCAGACACGTATGGAATCACAATGTTGTTGCGTTTGACCTTCTTTTCCTCCTCCCCTGTAGTTTTGTTCTTCTTGGATTTTGTGGCTGTCTTCACAAAAGTCCATTTAGGGTATCCACAGGCTGTAAGTGCCCCCTTCAGGTGGTTCTGTTCCTTCTCTCTGGCTTGGGCGCTTGTTGGTATGTTTTCTGCTCTGTGGTGCAGTGTTCTCATGACCCCTAGCTTGTGCTCCAGTGGGTGGTGTGAATCGAAGAGTAGGTATTGGTCTGTGTGTGTGGGTTTTCTGTAAACACCAATCTGCAGGCTCCTGTCCTCTTCAATGTGTACAGCACAGTCCAGGAAGGCCAAACTGTTGTTGTGAACATCTTCTCGTGTGAACCTGATGTTACTGTCCACAGAGTCCATTAGTAGTGTGTTGACTTTGTTCTGGTAGTCAGCTGTGTTAAGTACTACCGTGCATCTTCCTTTGTCCGCAGGTAGGATAGTGATGTTTTGATCCTTGCTCAGGGATGTCACAGCCTTCCTTTCTTGGATGGTGAGGTTGGAAGGGGGGGCCTTCGCATTAGAAAGACTGACTGGCAGTTTCCCTGCCAGTCAGTCAGAACTGAAGAAGTCCTTTGGATAAGGGACGAAACGTCTTCCAGTAGCTTCAACCAAGTCCAGTTGCCCTTCATTTTAACCTTCGTTGGATAACTATGACCTGGATGACTGAGAATCTTCATAGACATCGACACGTGCATTATTAGTGTTTTTGGTGATGATGTCAGAGAAGAAGGACCGCCTTGCATTTCTCAGTTCTAAATTATAAATACGACGTCTCTCTTTATAGATGTCATAATGAACCTGGAGATTTGTTTTCCGCCACCTGCGTTGAGTTTTTCGACACTCTCTTTTTTGAGTTCTAACCAGCGTCGCATTTCTCCATGGAGAGCTTCATTTGTAATTTTAAAACTGAAATTATCTACAAGCTCATTCACTGAGACCCGTGAGAGGGCAGGTGTTGAGGAGAAAGCCTCAATAAATTTTTCACTAGTGTTTTCAGTGATATGCCGTTTTGTGATCACCTCTGTTTTAACATTTGTGTGCACGTAGATAGCACTCTCAAAGAAAACACAGGAATGATAAGAGAGAGCAACATCAGTCACCACAACCTTGGAAATGACCAGAATCTTGGAGATGACCAAGTCCAAAGTGTGCCCCTTATTGTGTGTGGGCTCCATCACATGTTGGGTCAGTCCATAATTATCAAGAACACAACACAGTTCTTTAGTCCCTCTGTCCTGGGGGTTGTCAACATGGATGTTAAAATCACAAACAATAACCACACAGGTTATGCAGGTTATAGACAGCAGTTCACCAAAGTCATCAAAAAAGTTTGCACAGTATTTAGGGGGCCTGTAGATATTTAGAAAAATAGCTCGAGAAGACGAATTCAGCTGAAGAGCCACATATTCAAAAGAAGCAAAATTCCCATAAGACATCCTTTTGCATTGGAGGGAGTCATTAAACAAAATGGCAACTCCACCTCCTCTCTTATGCACTCTAGCTTCACTCATAAAACTGAAGTTGGGAGGGGTAGACTCGATAAGGACAGCTGCACTGTTATCTTGGTCCAACCAAGTTTCAGTTTATGGTAGAGAAAATGGGAGGGATTTGGTCCCAGCTCTAACCTGGTCTTCCATGTGATCAGTTAAGTCCAACAGGGAGGAGAGGGGAGAAAGGGTGTCTGGAGATAAGGGTGACCTAGATGGGGATTGGGGGGGTAGAGATGGTGAATCCTCACTGTTGGTTTTCAGTGAGGGAGGTGGAGGCTCTTCCTCTTGGCTCAGATGTCTCCCGTGATCAGAGCTGTCTTCTGGCGGGGGCTGAGGTGGCTCTCCTTCAAGGTTTCTGGTGTGTTGTGTTATGTCTTCTTCTTGTTTAGATTCCTCTTGTCCTTGGCAGAGGGAACAGATGAGTGACGCAGAAAGTAAAACAATTTTATTCCTGACTTGTTAAGGCGAAGTCCATCTGCCTTAAAAAGATGTCTGCGGTCCCACAGAAAGTAAAAGTTTTCAATGAAATGCACTGAATGGACAGTACATGCCGTTGAGAGCCACGTGTTCAATGCCATCAGTCTGCTGAATCTCTCAGCTCCTCTTCGGCTCACTGATAAACACCTCAGCATTCAAAGAGCTGACTGTGGTCAACAGATAAAGTCCTCTTTCAACACTTCAGACTGTTGCTTCACAACATCATTGGTCCCGATGTGCAGTATGATGTTTTTCACAGCAGGATGTTCAGCCACGACATGCAGGATTCTTTCTGCCAAGTCAGACACCGTATCCTTCGGAAAGCAGAGTATTTTGG